ATCATACTTTAATTCTGAATGCAATGTATTAATTCATTCTCACCAAGAGAACCTCAAGATTGAGGTTTTACCTCTCTAATAGTATTTTTTTGCCATATTAAATAGTAACTTTGCCATATTCATGCCAATTATTGCAATACTCCAACATTCTATATTTAAGAACTAGTAAAAGTATTTAATATTCAGAGGAAAATGCAAGCACTATATCCAACAACTCCTCAACCTCAGCTATTGAGATTTATGGTCTCACAGATCTCAAAACAGTAAGATTGCAATGAATCTCAATGATCTCAATGTAAACGATTTATATTGTTTAATGTAAATTTTCATTAAACAAATGTAAATTGTTTAATGAAAATTTACATTAAACAATATAAATAAACAATTTACATTTGTTTAATGAAAATTTTACAGTCAGATCTACACATAGCTAATAGTTATATAGCTAATAATACTAGATTATTAGATTGAGAGTTCTTTACATCTATATATAGTGCATTTAGGTATAATGCTGGATGTTCAGATCTTTAAGATATCCTGTTAGTTTTCATTTTATCTCTTTCTATAGATATACACATCAAAATAAAACTATGCATAAAACATGCCAAAAGCACCAGAATTAATAAAGTCTTGTTTCAAAGGCTTAACGTTCCGATCTTTCCCACTCCTTCTGTTGTTCCCACAAGCAAAAGCATGAGGACTCTTATTCTTAGGGCTCCAAGTTATGTTAGTTACGTGACAGCAGCACTGTGATTAATTCAGGGTTCTCAAAGTAATGAGTGGCCAGGCCAGAAAATGTAGGCTAGTTAGCCGGCTGCTGCCAAACAACTTGTATTATAGGTGGGAGGAAAAAGGTGTTCCCATCTGATGGCAGGATCAAGGCTACTGCGTAAAAATAGCCTGCAATAACTGTACCTTCTAATTATATAACCATAATGATAAATGAAAATATCTAACATACATCTAAAGAAGTGTTTTTCGAATGCAGCAACTATATGTATATAGTTAAAAGGTTATGCAATAGCCATACCCAAATATTCAAGTATATGTGATTATTTCTTACTATTTCTGCTTCATTTAAACCAATAGTACTGTAAACTACATGCCAGTGATGATAGAAAGAACATAGAGAAAATAGCTGTAAAGGCACAAAATGGCCTGTACATCCTTAAAAAAATCCAGACAATAGTCTCCTGAACTATTATGAAGAAAGGCAATGATGAAAAAAGAAAATCGTCTGAAATAAATAAGCTTTTCTGGTTTTGATTTTTTTTGTTTCAGTTCTCCTTCTCTGCACGTATGACTTTTTTAAAGTCCTCTCTCTACTGCACCTTACATTCTGAAAAGGATAAAGAAGATTACCAATTTTTGACCACTTCTATGGCAGGGACCGCTTCCTTTTGGCACTTATAAACAGAGCACTTTGAGGTACTCAATTAAAAAAAGTCTCGACTTCGGATGTATATCAACTGAAAGAATAAGGACATAAGAACAGAAAAGCCAAATGCAAGCTGCCTTATCCCTAAAGTCCCATATGACCTCCCTTACTCTTCCCACTGAATAAAATATTTGGAATCTTTTAAGTGATTAGAATCTGAACTCCTTCCTAAGCCCTGTAACAGCCAAAGGTTATTCAGTAGTACAGATTTCAATCTCTGTGGTGACCTGGCATATAGCAATCATATTTTTAATACTCATTAATATGTAATAGAGAAGCACACATCTCTGGCTAAACAGAAATAAGAAGCTACACGGATACTGTATGCAAAACAGTTGGAGAAACACAAGCTATGCCGAAAGGATCTACAGCAATAAGGCAGTGTGAGCTGAACACAGAGCCCTGCTTCTGTGAAAAATCAAACATATTGGGAGTTAAAAAGAAGTGTAGTTTGAAATACAGGGAAGGTAATTTTTTTCTTCTATTCTTCTGCAGAGCCAGAGTCCTATTCACACTCAGGTTTGCACCAGCAAAAGTCTGCACATTCAAATAGCGAGAGGGTTCTAAATCTATGGGGAAGAAAACTTGTACTTTAGCTGTTTAAAAACACTAAAGAATACAGAAAAAGAAGGTGACCCACTTTCACCCCTTATAAATCACATGAAACGCAATTTGTTCAACAGGAGTAAACAAAAAGAGGGAGTAGGAGGAGTGTCCCACTAGACAATAAGTTAAGCAATAAGACCTGATCACTTCTGCTTTGCTTTCCCACAAAAGCCCTATTCCACTGCCTAACGTGAAGACAAATTTCATCAATGTCTTTACTAGACACAGGTCTCAGTGATGTAGGTTTTTGGAAGGAGGGCTGATGAAGTGCTCATCTAGTTCAGCCTAAGCTTCTGTTTGGATCACAGTCAAGCACAGAACTGCACTGTCAGAAAACAATCATCCGCACTTGAGATCTCTTTGAATGAATCCTCCCACCCGTATTTAATTGCCTAGAGGGTGTCTCAAAAAAAAAAAAAAAAAAAAAAAAGAAACCCAAACGTTCAAATTGAAATAATGGAGCAGAATAATTTCAGCAACCACCCTATAATGCTACAGGAAAGCTTATCTAGAAGAGGGTAGTGAACACTACCTGCTTGGGTGTTGATTACTCTTTAAGCAGTGCATTCACCAGGCACATTTTATAATTCTGTATTTTCATCTTAAATTACTATCTTTATGAATTCCCTTTCCTGCATCAGACATGAGTTAACAGATTAACCAGTAAAATACCTCATAGTTTTCTAGCATCAATAATTCTTTCAAAATCAGGATATATAAAAATTACCACTTCCGTGTGTCCTCAAGAAAGCTTGTTTTTCACAAGCTACAGAGGCTAAAGCTAGTCTTGTCAATATATTTGAAGCCAAACTTCAAAAATAGGGATGTAGTGAGGTATTTTCTACACTGAAATATTGCGCACTAGAAATACAGAAGCAGAGAGGAAGGCATTGGGCTGAAAAGCTCAAATTTTAATCTGTTTTTTCAAAATACCAGGCTTAATTTTCTTTAGTAAAAGCCTGAAGAATGCTAAAAATGTTGCTGTAAACATCAGAAAACATTTAAAAACTGCAGATATTTCCACGGGTTACTACAGTGCTCTTATGCCATAAACATGCCATGGAATCAACTAATCTGAATATAAAAGAATAGCATGTACATAACACACACCACTCTCCAGTTGTGCTTTAAAAAAAATAAATTAAAAAAAAAAAACTTTACGGTTACCAAATACCCTGAAAAGACCATATGTTCATCTATTTTTTCACTACCTCTAGGTTCCTGAATTTGTTCCGTTTCCTTCTCGTCAATAGACTCAATGATTATGCCTGAACCCCACCCACTGTACAGAACTGCATGAGTCACATAAGCCATAAAACAAGTAATTCTGAATGGGTTTGCTGCATTTCCGGCTTGCATTTCCTCTGAATCACTTCAGGCATCAACAAAACTGTTTTAGTGTTACTCCTTTTAACTTCTCAAGATTAAAATATAAAAAAAAGCATTTTTGGTCACACAGTGATTTGGAATAACTGAGACAGTATTATGTTCTCATTTGTCAGTAAAGCTGATAACATTTTAAACAAGAATTGGGTGCCAGCTGACTGTTCTGCAACTAATTCCAGAACAAATTTCTGTATAATCTACTGAAAGTACTTGCGAGTTTCTTGCCAGTAAGGCTTTCTAATAAGATATTCTTGAGTAATTAGAAATCTATAGACATGATTAAATCTTAATATACAATATGCAGGATGAAAGATTTAGTCTGGAACAGCACACACTAGCAGAAAATTAAGCTGGAGATTCCCCCATAGGTGCAAAAACTCAGAGAGCATTTGCCAAAGATCTGATATATTCTCAACTCCTCACACTAACCTGGTTGCCGGTGGACACTTTCCTCATAAACAAACTGCCAGCACAATTCCACAGCCCAACAACTTAAACATCACTATCAAATATTTTACAGAAGGTATACATAGTTACTTTTTAATGAAAAAATTGGAGTAACTAATTTTGAAGTACCTTTCAAATAATGGATTTAATTTAGCTTGGCCTTCATTATTTAAAAGATCACTTAAGTGATCCATATGTGCTTCACAAACTACTCAGTATATATTTCTACTTATTCAAAGAAAGTCCATTTCTTCCAGCAGCAAGAATTTTTCTGTAAGCAATGCCACAGTAGCTGTAATGTTGTGGGAGGAGCCAATTCCAACCAGTGAAATGGCTGCAGCTTTAAGTACAAGACACCTTGACTGAAACCCTTAGAAAAAAAAATAATTCTCTCCAGTTTCTACATGATATTTACAGGCTCAGAACAGGTCAGTTTTATTACAGGACAAAACTTCCCATATGTAGAATAGCTCCCCAGTTCCTCAAAGATATATATATATTTGGCACAACATAAGGAAGTGCAGTCTAATAACAAGCTAGATGCAGGTTATTAATAGAAAAGCATGCAGGAAAACTACCGCTCAACTATCTAGGCAACTATAATATAAACAGTCACTGCTCTAATAGGTAAATGCCACACTGAACACAAGAGCTTTCATTTCCCTAATTATTGTCACCTCAAGACTGCAAAGTCTCTTGCAAATACGTACAGAAATATCCACCTTACAGCCAGGGAAACAAGCAGAGAGAAACCGAGCAGAGTACAAATCATCAGAAAATGACAGTGGAAAGTCTTCCTTGGTCAACATAGACAAATTAAAACACTCATGAAACTAAAACAAAAGACTCCAAAATCACTTAATTCAGGCCATAGTTCAAATCCACGCTGACAATACAATGAACAATGAAGACTTAAGATATTATCTCGAGTTATCTCTGCCATTATTTTGGCAGCCAGCACGCCTAAAAAGAGTGTAAGGTAACCTGCCAAAAGAGAAAGCAGTAGCAAGAAGTAGTACTGAATCATGCAAATCTAGTTACTACACAAAGTGCAGATAGCATCACAGACATACAGCCTATTAAGGTTTTGCCACGCAAAGAAATAGTATTTTACTCTACTCACTTTAAATCTTCTAGCAGGTCAAAAGGCTTTAGAAAGAAATCTGAAAATAAATGAAAATAAATTTGGAAAGTATGTGTTAACATTTGCAAAAGAAATGGTAGTGTATGACTTTTAGGAAATACAATTCCTCAATTCCCCAAATAAACTAGATTGCTAATTTAAATATTCCCAATTAATCTTTCTCTATTGCAAAAATAAAGCAATTTAAAACTGACAAGTATGAGAATTCAGAAGGCCTGTCTAATCCAAATTTGCCCCAAACTCTGCATATGGATTAAGGAAGTCTTTAATAATAATATCATACGTTAGAGTTTCTTATAGGACCTCCTGCCACTTTCACTCTGAAGATAATTCACTGTAGTTTTGTCTCTTTCACAGAAGCTACACAAAGCATTTTGCATACTTTTTGTTAATAATTAGCAATGCTATGCTATGTTTACTTTTAGGGCAAATGAGATGCTTGAAAATGTTTCTAGATATAAGGCACAGATACTTGTAGGTGATGCCGTAAGAGCTGTTTCCTGAACATAGTACTAAATGATCTGAAGTACTTTGACAAATCAGTCCTAAATCTTAAAGCATGCATCCAAATTTGGCGAATTTTTCTGACCTTTTATCTCTGTTTTACAGATGGGGAGCTGACAGAGATAATACCACTTCCCTCACGGGGTTTGGTGGAGATTAATTTAAAACCTGTGAAAAACTTGGATGCTATAGAGATGAACAGCATAGAAAAGCCTATGAGAAAATTAATAATTTTGTCTTCAGAACATGGTTTGAACAGCAGGTCAAAAAAGGCATAGGACCACATACAAAACACTGAGGATAAAACAGTATCTTGAACATCTATTCATTAATCGAACACTGTCCATCCTCTGAACAGAGTAAGGAATGGGCCATCCAGGAAAGTTTTACGTGTTCTTCTAGTTAATTAATCAGCATTTCACTTTATCATAATGCATATGAGAAGATGAACTGAGGTTGTACAGGCAACATTACTGTTAACATCCTCTTCTCTCGAGTGCTTGCCTTTGCATTCTTAATAATTCTCTTTCCGTGCAGTTTGTTGTATGCAACATTACCAGATAAAGAATGAATTATGATCTCATTTTGGATCGACAGTTTCCGTTAAGTGGCAATGAGCAAAACCTGCTCATTTGAGGGGGGTGGGGTATTGTTCACAATAGGTCCCTATTGCTGCTTACTGTGAAAATATACCATTGCAGAACTAAAGCAGCACATCTGGGAATTGAGGAAAAAACAGCATCTCCTCAAGATACTATCCCGTGTTTTTTGCCCATGCTAAAAAAAGCCCTCAACATCTTTTTAGAGCAGGATGATGCAGATCTCATGAGAGCTACTGCCCTCAATGCTGCACCACAGTTTACATTGAGAAATTTTTACATGCAAATCCTTCTCCAGTGATAAATGCCTCCTTTCCAGGCATTCTTCTACACACACTCCTACGTGAGAACTGTACAAGTAGCCCTATCTGACTCGAGCCAGTAGGACCTTAGAAAAAAAACGGCATTTGAGAGCTACTTTCATTAATTGACACCTGGCTAACTCATTAAGAGGAAGAATTACATCTAGCAACATAAAATGAGAATCAGATCCTTGAAGTTTCACCTCAGGCAGTTTCCTACAATTTTTCTAGGATTCAAGGGGCAAGATGCTTGTAAATATTCAAGCTCAACTTTCAAAATGGAAATTTATTTACTATTCTTTTGAAAAAAAAAAAAGTGAAAAAGTAGATTTCCCCATCACAGTCTAGCTGGACCAAGCCTTAATATCTAAAATATCCTCATTTAACTAATTTAATCTGAGTAAAGCCATGAGGGGTCTTAAATGTTTGCTAAGTGAAAGCCTTTTACTCCAGCTAAAACATGTTTCCTGAAAGTATTTACACACAGCTCCATGCTTCCAGTCAAAAGCATTTCACCACATCACTTCACCAAAGGACGGCACACAGCAGTACCTATTTTTATAAAAGCATCACACCACGAGATGCCACATAGCTACAACACTCTTAACTTTTCAAAAGAGCAACAGAAAGCCAACAGCTTTAACATATTCAACCAGGACTAAAATCAAATTTACATCTGACAACATGCTACCTTATCGAGTGGTTTTAAAGCCAACCATTTCTAAGTATTATGAATGCTTGAAAAAGTATTTACATTCATGACGTATCAAAGATAACGCTCCAGGAGCCCTGATCCACGGGGCAACCCGCACCGGTCTGAGCCGGTTCTAACGGCCGTTAACTGCCACCTGCGGGGCGGGGCGCGCCCGGCATCGCGCATGCCGTGTGGGGAGAGGGCGGCGACGTGCGGGAACAGGCGCAGCCGGGGCCATGCAAACGAGAAGCACCTGGAGAAGCCCAAGGGGAGAGACAAGATGGGGAAAAGGCTTCGTGCTCAGGCGGTCAGGGACTGAGCTTAGACTACTGCACTGCCCAAAAGGGTAGTGGTGGCTACAGTGTCCTCATAGGGGCGAAGAAGGGGAGAGGAGAGGCAGAGGCAGTAGCTGTAGGGGACATGTTTCCTCAGCTGATTTATTCTTTTTGCCTCCTTTGTTTCTCAAAACCCGAATCACTAACTAAAAGTTTATGTTAATGAGCCGCAAATTAAATGAAATTCCCCCCTCTTAATAGTGTTTTGTCTCTGACATTACAAAGTACCTCAAGAGATGACAACCCTGCTGCACATCACTTCAGATACTTCTGTTCTTTACCTGGTCTGTTGTTGGAAGCTGGGAAATTACGTTTCAGTAGTAGCATAGCTGATACTTGAGTAAAGTTCTGGGATGTGCCCTGAAATAATTGCATTTACCGTGAGCAAACATGTTGTGTGAGTTTTAGAAAAATGAAAAAATACCAGTGAAAATTACACCGGTTGAAAATGCACCAACAGATGTGTTACCTAGCAAGGATGTCCCTGGAAATTTTCTTGTTTCCTTTTGTCAGTTTAGGAAAGGTTCATTTAAAATCTGTTAGAATGTATCAAAGTGCAGGGTCACATTCTGTCTAGTAACAAAGGAAGAGGGAAGAAAAGCTGAGAAGTCTAAAAGCCCTGGAATCTTCAAAATAGGGAAAATTTATGCAGAATACTGAGATCTTTTCCACCAGACTGTAAAATCTGCAGTTTATTCACAAAAACATTTCCTAATTTGATGCACTTGGGGGGAGGGGGAGAGAGGGGGAGAAGGGGAAAATCAAGCCATATCCATAGAAAGTTTTCTCATTTTTTTTTTTCTGTAATGATGAAGATGTACTTAATTGCTAAAGGAACAAATTTGATAAACATCAACCAAAGTACACAAACACTCAGTAAAAGAACACTATGTAATGAACAGATCTTGACATTACCTTAAAAGCACTTCTCATATTATATTCATATTCTCCTAACTTGCCTCTTTCTCTGAACTACAGAAAGGGAAATGAGCTATTTTCCTCTTTTTTTTGCTCATATTTTGCTATTTGATTAAACAATGTTTGTACACATTCATACGTATGAACAGGCATTAAGGTCCAGACATACATCATTTTGTCTCCCATGTAAGTTATATCTTCAAAAATTTAAAATGTCATAAATCAATGTAATTTAGTAAGCCTTCAGTTGGAAAGACGTTCTTGGATGGTGGATTTTAGCAACTAAATCTGCTCTCTGAGGCAATTTCAGTACCAATATAGCTTGAGTTAATTCAGGCTACCTACTATTAGTCTTAATAGTTGATTTTTATTTTAACACGTTTGTTGACTTGGCTTTGACCTGCAGAAGGTAAACATGCCTTCTACCCCCAAGCACAATGGAGACAGTGACTGAAATGCTTGCAGATTTTGTTGTTATGATAGAATAGACTAATACATATTTCTAATGGAAAATGAAATAACTGCTATATGGTAGCATTTTCCTAGATGTTCCTGAGATGAACCCAGTATGTTCCTGGATGAACCCTGGAACCCAGCATGTTCCTGGGTTCCAGGAGCCCAGTTCCATAGGCAGTATGTATGTTCCAAGCTGAGTTTGACCCATGTGTTAATTTTGAAGAATGCAATTTTGCTTTATCCTGAGAGGAAGGGCTGTTGTTTTGTTACTGACTGCTTTAACTGAAGAGAGTATTTAGGTTGCCATAGCAATGGCTAATCTCTATTAATACATCTGAATATGTATCCTTTACTCAGTAAAGTGGCCACTCTTACAAATGTATGTACTTTCATATGCACTTCAGAACATGCAGCACCTGATACACAATCAGATGCAGTTTCCCACTTTGTGCTTACACACTGGATATTTGCCCTTGTCAACCAAGCTAGTACATTTGGGGGATATTTTTATTATAGATAAAGAAGCTACACTCTGCAGAATTAGCATTTTGGGATGAGTAATCTAGGATGAAAGAATTGCACCATCCCACAAGGAGCCACTGAAGAAACTGTATGTCTTAAAATATGATTTAGAACCCAAAAGCAGTGCAGGGAGCAGCTAATTCTAATAGTGTAGTCACATTCTCCCATGTGACACACAGGCAGCTCTGTGCAGAGGGGCATATAACACAATGGCCCCATTTTTGAGGACATTATTTACATTCTGAAAGGCACAATGAGGGAACCCTGACTCTGCTACCCTGTTCAGTTGGATAGCGAAGCAGTCACTGCACAGGATAAATTCTTGTTCTCACATTCTACAGATCTGTACAGAAAATATGGCTAAAACTTGCAAAACAGCTTCTTATTTAAGGAGGAAATATATAGATAATGAAATTATTTTGATTGTAGCACTTTATGGGAGAGTTCTGAAGGCAGAAATCATAGCACATTAGTAGTGTGTGTTTATAACACACCAAGCACAGAAGTGTATGAAAATATATTCCAATTTCCAATATATTCCAAGTTTGAGGGTGTTTACAGGTATTTTGGATGTTCTTCCAAATTTAGTTTTGACACAGTGCAAGATTCTGCATTTCACACCAAAGGACTTGCCAAGAGCTGAATGTCCACAGTGCCAATGTGAAAGCAAGGCAATAC